TGAGGCTGAATTCCTAATTGTTACGTGCTATAGCCCAGGTCCCCAGCGCTCTAAGTAAATTGGATTATTAAGTGTCGTGATTGTGAGTGTCTGTCACCTCCTAGTGAAAAGCTGTGCCACACCCTCAAGGGGGTTCCTCTCTGCTTTCCTTCTGATGTGACTTTATAAAGTTTGGCTTTCCCCTTTTCATCTGAGCAAATCTAAACCTGTCTGCTAGCCTTATGGCCCCTCCCATTTAGTTAACAAGCACATAATGTACGTTTACTATTTTTATCCGTGTGAAATTGACTGCCTCTTTGTGGTATGTCTAAACCGCGCATTATTCAAACTTGGACACACACATGCTATTTCCTTGGTCAGTGGAGTGAGCTGCAGGTAAAAAGAGGACATTTTTGTTGTTGTTAATTAAAGTGTTTTATATACGTGCCCAAAAATCCTGAGAGGAGAATGGAGGAGAAGGGATTGCAACATGGCCATCCCCCCAGGGGTGATTTCTTGCTTTCTATCTCACTGTCTCTCTGGTGAGTGCACATGCACTATAGCAACAATATCTCTAAAAAATAAAAAAGATATAATTTTAGAAAGCAGACAATTCTGGATCTTTTCAAAGTAACTTTTTCTTTTTTCTTCTTTTAGGCTTTTGCCATAAGGTGCACATGCTCACCAGAAAGAGAGAGGCTGAGACAGAGAGACAGGGAAAGTGAGAAATCACCCCTCTTGGGGAGATGGCCATTCTTTTTTTTTTTTTTTTGGACAGGTTTTTGCTATAGGGTGCATGAGCGCGCCAAACAGAGAGAAAGAGAGAGGCAGAAAGCAAGAAATCACCCCCCAGGGGGGATGGTCACGCCACAATTCCTTCTCCTCCATTCTCCTCTCGGGATCTTAGGCACGTACACACACGCACCCGGCATGAATTTCAAGCTGCCAAGTCCAGGACTCGAATTGCAGTTGACTATGTGGGAGTCCAGCGATGTAACCATTACACCACCTGCTGGTCCTGAACTGAAACCCTTCCTTCTCTTGGGATTTTGGGCATGCATGTAGATGTGCCTGGCATGTTTTTCAAGCTGTTGGATCTGGGACTGAAACTGCAGAGTCAGCAATGTGGGATCAAGCATCTTAACTACCATGCCACTTGCTAGCCCAAAGTACCTATTTCTTAAAATTTCAAAGATATTTTTAAACTTTCTCCAAACTATAAATGTCATGATGTCCCTAAGACTCTATCAAAAGTTATAGACTTTTCTCTTCCCTTTGATCTTGTTCTAAAGCCCTGTAGGAATTCTCTGAATTCAAAATACTGAAGTACCCTGAGCTCCAGGTATCCCTTACAGCTACTGAGAGATCGCAAACTTGGCAGCATCCGAGTCAGAGGTCTCCTTCATCATGCAGTCACCTCTTCATTTTGACCCTTGCTCAGTGCTCTGGTGGAACTCAGCTGAGCATGTTAGCAGGAACCTGATACTAGGCAAAAGCTCCATCACAGCACAGCGTTCAGGAATGCTTATGACTACATCTGGGACATTCTGGGCAGTGCAGGTCCTTTAGGTGCGTATTGTTACAACTGACACAAGTACCAAAAACTTCTCTCAGATGTTGGTGTGTGCCTCTTGCACCGGTATTGCCAATTCAAATTTTGTGATGCTCAGAGTGATAACAAGGGGGCACTCTGACATTCTATAAAAGCATCCCAGAAAAATTCATTTTAAATTTACTTAACTTTTAAAGTTTTGACATAGGGTGTGTGCACTCTCCAGAGAAATAGGGGGAGACACAGAAATAGAGACAACAGAGAACAAAAGTGAGAAAGCACCCCTCAAGGAGGATGGCCATGCCACAGTCTCTTCCCCTCCATTATCCTCTCAGGATTTTGGGCATACACATACATGTGCCTGACATGCTTTCAAGCCACCGGGTCTTGGACTTGAACCACCAAATTGGTCATGACAGATTCATTTGCATTAACCACTATGCCACTGGCTTGCCCAAATGTACTTCATTTAAAAAATAAGTTTCTACACTGTTTTCTTCCTAATTTTCTTTCTCTGGAAAGGGAAATGTGACTAAATAAAACTAAGAACAACAACAAAAAACCAAACCAAAAAACTTGAGGGACCAGCAGGTGTCGTGGATAAGGGTGCTGGACTCCCACATGGCTGACTGCAGTTCGAGTCCCGGACCTGGAGGCTTGCTTTTCCACTTTCCCTCTCTCTCTCTTTCTGTCCTTCTCTGGTCAAGTTAAAATAAATGGATAAATAAAATTAAATAAAAATAATTCTTTTTTAATAATTATTTTTCTTTAAATTTATTTATTTATTTATTTATTTTAAATTTGACCAGGGAAGGATAGAGTGAGAGAAAGAGACAGAGAAAGAGAGAAAGTGAGAAAGCAAACTGCCAGATCTGGGATTCAAACTGTGGTCTGCCATGTGAGAATCCAACACTCTTAGCTACCACACCACCTACCAACCCCTCATTAAATAAAATAATTCTTAAAAAAAAAAAAACTTGAAAAACATGACTATGATATATTGTCCAAATATGATCCAGACCACGCAGGTGAATTTTAGAAATTTGGAGCGCTAATGGGATGGCTTCACAGCCTAGCAGATTCCGCATGGCTTACTGCAGTTTGAATCCCTGCCCCTGCAGCTTGAAAAACACAACACGCTCATGTGGGTGTGTGCCCCAAATCCTGACAGATGAGATGGAGAGATGGAGGAGAAGGGATTGTGGTGTGACTAGGCCCCATTGAGGAGGGAAACTTTCTCTCTCTATCTCTCACCTCACTGTCTCTCTTTCTGCCTTTCTCTGGTGAGTGCACATACCCCCTAGCAATGATTAAAAAACAAAAACAAGAAATCGGGACAGATCACATAGTCTTTCTGACACTTGACTCTAGGTATAAAACCCACAATTTTTAGGTTTCAATATTTCCTGCTCCCAATTTTGGGGTGGAATTATAACATTAAATAAGGATGGAGAATCCAAAATTACTAAAATTATACCAGTTTCATTTAGTAAAATAAATTTGTGTACATTGAGCTACTTCAGTTTAAAACTTCACATTTATATGAGAAGATTTTAGGAGGTTTATGGGCAAATGGAATTAAAGTACAAGTTTATTTTGGAGCAAACATTTTTTTTGAAAAATGCAGGCCAACTGGTGGCATGGTGGTTAAGGTGGTTGGATTCCACGTGGTCGACTCCTTGGTTCAGGTCCCAGACCCAGTGTCTTGAAAAAGATGTTTGGCGCTTGTGTGCATGCCCCAAATCCTGAGAGGACAATGGTGAAGAAAAAATTGTGACTTGGTCATTTCCCCTGGGAGGGTCCTTTCTCACTTTATCTCTCACTCTCTCTTTCTCTGTCTTTCTCCAGCAAGCACAGGCACTCTGTTGCACGTGGATTTTTGAAAATTTTCTACAATCTTTTCATACTATACATTTTCTGTTAACTTTCTGAAGATTTACCATACATATCTCAGGTAGCTACTGGAGATAAGCTGAGCGTAAAAGGTAACTTTTGTTTAGTTTTGTTTTCCTCCCTTAAAGAGTATAAATACCTGAGTAGTTCTTGTTTTAAATTTTATAACCTACATATTTAAATATATCTACATATTCAATAATATATTTACACACATATCTTTTTAAAATTTTTTTTTAACTTTATTTATTTACTTATTTATTTTAATTTGACCAGAGAGGAACAGAGAGAGAGAGAGAGAGAGACAAAGTGAGAAAGCAAGCTGCCAGGTTCAGGACTCGAACCATAGTCGACCATGTGGGAGTCCAGTGTCCTTAACCACCGTGCCACCTGCCAGCCCCTACACACATATCTTAAGACATTTACAATACAGACACAAAAATACAACTGACTATTGACTAGCAGTATGGGTCCACTTCTAAGTAGTATTTTCAATAAGTTCTGAACATGTTTTTTTTTTTTCCTTATGATTTTTCTTTTATTAAATTTTATTTATTATGGAGCCAGCAAAAAAAGTGGTTAAGGGCACTGGACTCCCACATGGCCGACCGTGGTTTGAGTCTCAGACCTTGTGGTTTGTTTTCTCATTCTCTCTCTCACTCTGTACCTCTCTGGTGAAAATTAAATAAGTAAATAAATAAAGTTGAATAAAATAATTCTTAAAGAATTTTTCTTTAAAAAGTTTTTAAAATTTATTTTTATTATTTTTTAATTTGACCAGAGAGAGGGTGAGAAAGCAAGTTACCAAGTCTGGGACTCAAACTGTGGTCAGCCATGTGGGAGTTCAGCACCTCAACCACCACACCACCTGCTAGTCTCCTTATGATTTTCCTTAATAGTGTTTCCTTTTTGCAGTGTCCTTTATTGTAAGAATATAATACATAATTCATGTAGCAAACAAAATATGTATTAATCTACTGTTTATGTTACTGTTGAGTATAAAAGTTATATGTGGGGGAACCAACAGATGGCATAATGGTTATGTTGCTGGACTCCCACATGATCGATCATAGTTTGAGTCCTGAACCCAGCGGCTTGAATTTCACATCAGATGTGTGTGTGTGTGTGTGTGTGTGTGTGTGTGTGTGTGTGTGTCCCAAATCCCAAAAGGATAATGGAGGAGAAGGAATTACAGCACAGCCATTCCCTGGAGAGTGATTTCTCACGTTCTGTCCCTCTTTGTCCCCTGGGTAAGTGTATGCACCCTATAGCAAAATTGTCTCTTAAAAAAAAGTTACATGCAGATTTTTGATTGCACAGACATCCCTAAGCCCCATGTTGTTCAAGGGTCAATAGTATCAGTAGACAAATACCAAAAGGTTCCTGTAATTTTTATCTGTGTGAACTGATTCAAAGCATAAATAAGAGAGATTGAGATGTATAAATATTTAGACAGACCATGTAAAGACTAGGCTTTTCACAATCACTTACTACTTAGACTCGCATTCTTAAGTCTAATAATAGAAATGTCATCAAATATGTCAAAAAATACAATGAAGTAGAAATGATTTCTTACTGAATACTGGGAAAGATGTATTTCCTTTTAACACTTGGAATTCTTGTTCTAGTCGTCTCCGTAAATCTATTTGTTCCAATAAAACCTTCTGAAGTTCTTCTAATAAAGAAAAAGAGAAGAGTCATTTTACTAATCTTTACAAATAACTCTCCAGAGAACTGTTATATATGGCAATTTATTATTATAAGACAAAATATTTTACCAGTTTAAAAAGTGTTGCATAGACATAGGATAGATTTTGTGCAGAAATCCATGAATATAAATCAATGTAATATATTATTTTAAAGTATTATATTACAGTGTCATGTATTGATTGATATGTATGCATTAATCTCAATTATATCCACCCAATGGTCCATATATTATTCATATGTTGCTTGTCAAGCTTAAAATATGGCATAGAACAAAAATATCTTCCTGTTATCTCTATAGTCTTTTAAAGCCAGGAGAAGTTCTCTAGAATAAAACTTTTTTTTTATTACCTTTTCCCATATTTTCTACATCCTTTTTGAGCGAATGAGGTGAATTGGTTTCTTGCGTGTGCTCACCTTTAAAAGAGGAGAAAAAATATTAGTTTTGTGCAGGCTACTTTCTGAAATATTTTTCATTTTCTTTCAGTATCTACAAAAGAGCTTATTTAATCGAACCTAAAATTAGGAGTCCTCAGAACCAAACGTTGCCCTCATTTCCTTGTATGCAATTCCCCTGAACCATGGAGGGGAGTGACAGAAAATGAGGACAGAGCCTGCTGGTCTGTGGATGGCAGCCCTGTGAAAGCAGGTTTCTGAAGTTGATCCCCTTCTATCCTGTCACTTCCACCCTTTACACAAAGGCAAGGGCTGGTGTGGGCAAAAGAGGCAGGTCAGTCCCATCCTGGTAGCCATCCGATCAGAGTACTCTCCTCCTTTAAGGGAGGAAGCCTAGTTTCAGCTGGAAGGCCCTCAAGGCTACAAAGGCAGGGGATTCCCGGCCTTCTTGGGCCACCAAAATTTGAGACAGTGAAAATGAAGGGGAAGGACGTTTGGAGTTATCCTTATGAGATAATTTATAAGCTTGGAAGAGCTTCCTAAAAATTCATATAGTTTAAAGGAAATAGTTGTCATATTATGCAAGACTCCCTTATGCACATGGATACATTAAAATAAATCTGTATGACTTTTCTCTTATTAGCCAAGCCAAGTTAAAAACAAAAACAAAAACAACCTACAACAAAGATGTGAAATAAATTATCTTATGTTAACTTATAAATTTTACTTGCTTGCTGAATGTCCTTAACTACTCATCTTTGGCAAATAAAAACCACATTGTGGATAAAGGTTAGATTGTTATTCTGACCTCTGTGTTTATGTGCTAACTAGAATGACGCTGACCTAAGAAAATGATTTATCCACAGCTGTAAATTGAGTACATAATCCTGAAAACCTAAACACAGCAGCTCCTCTCTGTGTGGTTTCGCTCTGTGACATTTCAGTCACCCAGGGCCAACTGTGGTCTGAAAATATTAAATCAAAAATTCCAGAAATAAACAACTCATAAGTTTTAAATTGCACACCATTCTGAGTAGCGTGATGAAATTTCATGCCATCCCGTTCTGTCCCTTCTTTATTATGAGAAGGATGAATACGGTACAATAAGATATTTTGAGCGAGCGACAACTTTTATTGTGGTGTATTGTCGCAGTTGTTTTATTTTATTATCGGTTATTCTTCATCTCTTATTGTGCCTAATAATAACGTAAACATTATTTTAAGTGTGTGTAGGAAACAAAAACAAGAAAAGTCTGCTACTACGATTTCAGGTATCACTGGGTCTTAGAATGTATCCTCTGTGAATCAGGGTTCCAGTCATTCAGCTAGTCAGATCATTTCTTTCTTTTTTTTTTTTTTTCCAAATTTCAACCTGACATTTACAATATTCACATAATTCTATTTTTTTTTTTTTGGAGAGGTTTTTGCCATAGGGTGCGTGTGCTTGCCAGAGAGACAGAGAGAGACAGAGAGATAGAAGCGAGAAATCACCCCCCCGGGGGGATGGCCACGCCGCAATCCCTTCTCCTCCATTCTCCTCTCGGGATCTTGGGCACGCATGCACACACACCCGACGTGAGTTTTAAGCCACCGGGTCCAGGATGCGAACTGCAGTCGACTACGTGGGAGTCCAGAGACATAGCCATTACGCTAACTGCTGGTCCCATAATTCTTTAAAATGATCTTATTTCATTTATAATTATTATTTCTTAATTTGCTATAGGGGCATGTGTATGAGAAAGAGAGAAAGAGTGAGAAAGTGAGCTGCCAGGTCTGGGACTTGAACCACATTTGACCATGCAGAAGTCCAGTGTCTTAACTGCCATGCCACCAACTGGGTCCAATAGTCATATAATTTAATGAAGCTTTCTCTTTCTGTCTGAAGAGGTATGGCAGTACAGACAAAAGTGCTCTGACAGGGTTTTCTGGCTCCCCTTCCTCTGTCCCTAAGGGTCAGGTTGGTCTCTTACATCCCCAGAGCAGATTGTATGGGCCTCAGGTATTTGCGGTTTGTTTACTCCCCTTTGTTACCCATGAGGAAATGTGATATTCAGAGGTAGAGGCTCTGTCTTTTCTGTACAACCAGTGCCTGATACAGTATTATACACATGATAAGCACTCAATAAAGTGTTTTCAGTTGTTACTCAGTTGTTACAAACCCATAAAGTTAAAAATTCTAAATTATGGCCTTGCCTACAATTCATAATTTCAATTCTCCCTTTGCTATTTATTTCCATGAACAAGAAATAGAATGTAATGGTCCAGACCCTTGTAGGAATGCTGGGAAATTTCATTGATGAGGTAGAAATTTCTGCAAAGAGGAAAATAGCAGTGACCCATAGCAGTGATCTAATAGTATCAGGGACAAACAGAAAAATCTTCAACATGATATTACAAATGGTGAGTCTGCATATCTCCTGATGACTGTCAGGTATATGTGTATGTGGGTGGTGGGTGTGTGCATATACGCAAAGATGCATGGGTAATGTACACATACGCACATATACCTAGTTAGGATAAAGAGCCTGATAATATGCTTGACATCCCTAAGATCTTTTTTATTTTTATTTGTTATTATTACTTATTATTATTTTTTAATTTGACCCAAGAGACAGAGAGAAAGCAAGATCCCTAAGCTCTTTTTATTTTTATTTGTTATTATTACTTATTATTACTTTATAACTTGACCAAAGAGACAGAGAGAGAAAGCAAGAGAAGGGGAAAATGAGAAAACAAGCCGTCAGGTTTGGGTCTTGGACCACGGTCAGCTATGTGGGAGTCCAGCACCTTCACCACCACACTGCCTGCCGGCCCCAGTATCCCTAAATTTTTAAACGGCAGGCATTTTCTCTTCTCTCTAGATCAAAGCCACACAGTCTCATCCAGGCTCACCTTGAAGGTGACCGCTCTCTATTGGCTCAGGTATACTGTTGAGCCTTGATACCTTGATCTTCTTTTCCATACAATAGGATAATATTAAGGAAATATCTGTGAAGTGTTTTAAATGTAGACCTCAATATAATTCCTAAAAAAAAAACTATTGTCTAAAAGAAGAATAATGTGAAACTTAACAAATTATTGATACATAAACCAAGAATAACAGTGTTTTGAAATGAAGATGAATGCATATGATGAGCCATTTGCCTGTGTTTATGCTAGTTAATCTCAGTTAGCCAGTAAAATGCACTGAAGTTTCATACTTATACAGTACTGCATCTGAACAAGAGAAGAAATAAACATACACATCTCTCTGCATTTATCCACAGGGCATAATGAGACCACATCACTCTACAACCTTCTCAACCACTCAAAACATGATTTAAATGAGACCATTTACTCCTGAATAGGCAATTCTAGAAACCATATTCTTATCACATTGTAGACCAGATTCTTTTTTTGATTCGTTAGTATATTTTGTGGACTATTTATCTTATATTACATTTCAATTAGATAATTAGATTTAAAAATTAAAATATGATATGCAAAAATGCACTTCTTTTCCACTTGACAGTAAGTAACTTTACCTGGGTATGAAACCAGGTAAAGACAAATAGCTAATAAATAGAAACTATCTTAACCACAGGCAAACCTACTGATGACATTAATAATAAGCTCTTTTTAAAATCAGCTTTGTGGAGGTTTTATTAATATTTTGCATAAGTGTCTATTTCAAATAGACAACTTCGGGATAAAATCTGCCAGTTTGAGCTTAGAAGATTGGTTAAGGTGCTGGACTTCCATGTGATCAACCATGGTTCAAGTCCCAGACCCAGCAGCTTGAAAACTCACACAAGGTGCCCGTGTGTACACGCCCAAAATCCCGAGAGAGGAATGGAGGAGGAGGGCTTGCAGAATAGCCATCCCCTCTCCCACACCCTGGGTGGGTTATTTCTCTTTTTTGTGTCTCTCTGTCTCTTCAGTGAGCTCACAGACCCTATAGCAAACATTTCTCAACAAACAAACAAAAGGGTTTTTTAAAATGCTTAAGTTTGGGCCAGCCTGCAATCTGGTGTTTTAGGCAGTTGGCTCCCACATGGCCAATAACAATTCAAATTTTGGACCCAAAGACTTGAAAAACATGTTGGGCAAGTGTGTATACATGCCCCAAATCCCAAAAGGAGAATGGAGGAGAAAGGATGGTAGCATGACCCTCTCCCATGGGAGTTTCTTTCTTACTTCTCCTCTTTCTCTGTCTCTCTTTCTCCCTCTTTGTCTCTTTCCAGTGAGCACATGTGCCCTCCGGCAAAAAAAGTTTTTTAAAAGGTTAAATTCTAGGTAAATAAAGAGCACAGAAGCTTCAGCTGCCTTTTGTGTATTTTTTACTGGACTGTTGCCTTCTGTATATCACTAATCCATGAAAACCAGATTGTTAATGGTGGTTAAAAATGACCTCTGGGAGCCTGGATATGTTTGTTCACTATTACTGCTAATGTTTTCCATCTGGTTAAAAAAAAAAAAAGAAGCGTAATACTAGATTAAATAAATGTGATTTAGTTGACAATGAGCTCCCAATTTTTATAAATATTCTATCAGATTAGATGCATTTTACTTTTTCAAAATTAACAAATAAATTCAGAGACAAGTAACCCCCATTGCTCCTACTCTAGGAAGGGGTACAAGTACATTCCACAAATACTTCTTATTGCACTTAATTCATTCCATTTTGTGAAAGAAATACCAATTGATGCTTTTATAAATCCTCATTTCGCCATGAAGTGTTTTAAAGCATTAACTAATTCCTATGAATGCAATGGTACATTTTGTATAGTATTATTTTTTTAAGAGATTTTTGCTATAGGGCATGTGTGCTTGCCCGAGAGTCAGAAAGAGAAAGAGAGACAGAAAGTGAGACATTACCCTCCAGGGGAATGGCCATACCGCAATCTCTTCTGCAGTCTCCTCTTGGGTTTTTAGGCATGTATGTTCATGCACTTGGTGTGAGTTTCAAGCTGCTGGATCTGGGACTCAAACCATGGTCAACTACATGGGAATCCAGTTCCTTAAACACTATGCCACCTGCT